ATTTTATTATCTTTTTTTATAATAAATTAAAATTATGATTATTTGCAAATAAAAAAAAATGAAAATATATATATATATATATATAAAAGGTACCGATAGATACCCGATAGAGGGAAAAAACTACTCGATATACAGAGATATATTGTGCTTGATATATAGGGATATACTATGGCCGATTTATAAAAGATATATATCCGATAAAAAAAATAAATAAAATCGGATGCCCGATATATGAATGATGAATTTGAATAAAATGTCAAAATATTAATATCCGATATGAAACCGATATGAGCTCGATAAGTATCTGAACTTCTGCATTTTGACTCCACCAATCGGGTGCCCATATATTACATAATTGTTAATATCAGACACCTATCGTATACCTATCAAATTTCTGATAAGCATACGATAGGTATTCGATATTCCCTATTTTGATCAGTAAATATTAACAACAATAATAATAACTATGCTCTGAATAATAACAACAATTATAATAATAACAATAATGCTACCTTTATCACAAAGAAAACTTCCATATATGTATATGAGAAATGGTGGAAATCAGATGCTATAAGTAAAATAATAGTAATATTTTTTTATACCTATTGGATATATTATTAATATATATATATTTTTTAGTTATTAAAATTATTACATGAACGAATTGATCCAGTTATAGCTTGGATCTGTAAGAAACAAAATAAACTAAGAATTAGAAATATTATATTAAAGATCCATCAAGAGGTAAATCCCTTCTAAAGGGGTTCCTTTGTGAACACTTAGTGAAGAGGTGTTAATATCTGAAAATAGAGATAAAAGTAAAATAAAAATATATGATTAAGATACTAAAGAAGAAAAAGAAGAAGATGATGATGATAATGATTTAATTGTAATTGATAAAGGAAAAAGAAAATGAAACCAAACATTATCATCAAAAAATAAAAGAAGAAAACATGATCACAAAACATTAAAGAAAAATAAAAAAAATAAAAAAAGTCGAAGAAAATAAACAATTTTATAATGAATATTTAATAATAGTAATAATAATAATGGTAATAATAATAATATATTTTTAGGATATTTGAATATTTTAAATTTTCTATATTTTTATTATAATAGTATATTTTTAGAACATTTTAAATTTCATACATTTATTATATGCAATAATAAGTATATTAATAAAAATAAATAGTTATTGGATATATTATATATATATTATATAAAATTGTATAAAATTTGTGTAATAATAAATAAAGTTATTAATTTGTATTATTTATTTGGAAAAAGCATTCGAATACAGTATGACTATTACACTTATCAGGTACCTGACAGATGTAATAAATAAAAAGATCAGAGAACTCGATAGGTATAATAAAAAAATATTAGCCACCTATCAGAAGTAAGAATATATCACTAATAGGTCTTCAATATTGAATAAAAAAATTAGGTACTCAATTGATATAAAAAAATAGCTGAAAAATAGGTATCTGATATGTGTAGTATATGTGATCGATAAGTTTCCAATAAGTATTTGATATTAGGAAATAAGACGACACTTATTAGGTATCTGATATATGTCAAAAAATATATATCGGGTACTTATCAGGTACCATGATAAATGTTTGATAGGTGTCTAATATGTCAAATTTTGACCAGTGAATATTTCTTCTTCTGATAAAGATCTTATTTCTGATGATGAATAAGATTCCATTAAAGAAATACATAAATTATTAATGGTATGTAATTTATTTAATTTATTGAAAAATTTTTTAATATATAACTTAGATATTAATATTATTTTATTTTCTATGTAGCCTTTCAAACAAGCCTTTGATTATATTACTGATCAAAAATATCCTACTTTATCTTTTTTTGTACCTGTATATAATTATTTATTGAATAGATTGGAAGAAGAAATTGATAACAATTCAAATCTTACAATTAAAAGAGTAATAAGATCTGCAGAGAAAAAAATTAAATCATATTATCCTACTACTGATGATAATGTGTATATAGTTGCTACAGGTAAATATATTTTATTTATACATTTACATTTTTAATTTTATTAATTACTTATTATTTACTTATTATTAATATTTTGTTATTTAATTAAAGTTCTAGATCCTAGATTAAAACTATAATATTATCATGATAAGGAATAGGAGCAATTTTATATTGATGCTGCAGAAAGAACTATAATCAATATTTGAGAAAATTACTATAAAAATAACAATGAAATTATAGTTGAACTAAATAAAGCAGATGAACTTCTTGCTCATGTTTTTAAAAAACAAAAAATAGAATCAAATGATGAATTAAAAAAATTTTTAAAGAAAGGAGTTATATCTTTTACAACAGATATATTATCATGATAGAAGGTATGTTTATTAAATTAATTATTAATTAAATTTATACAATATACTGTTTTTATTAATTTTACATTATATTATTTCAAAGTCATAAAATACAATTTTCTTATCTTAATAAAATGGCTAAAGATTATTTAGCTATTCCTGCTACTAGTGCATCTGTAGAAAGAATTTTTTCTAGAGGAACTGATTTGGTTGTTCAAAGAAGATGTAATTTAAAAGGAAAAACAATTCATGAAGTAATGTGTCTCAAAAGTTGGTTAAAATCAAATCTTGAAAAAATTAATATAGAAAATTTAGAATTTTAATTTTAATTTTTTATTTTTCAAATATAAAAAAATACAAAAAATTAAATATAATGATTTTTTTATTATTATATTCTATATAACATTAAATATAATATATTTATTATATAAATTTTATATATTTTCATTAATTTTCAAAAATGATAATAAAAATTTAATTCTTTTGATTTTATAAATAATTTTTTAATTTTTGTTTAGTTTTTTATTTAATTAAATATATTAAAATTTGTAAATTTACATTAAAACTTATAAAGTTTATATTAAAATTTAAGAGTTTTTATCAAGGTTTATAAGTTCATATTTGTATTAGACAAATTATATCAAGATAAGTTTATATTAAGACTTGCAAGCTTATATTAAGACTTGAGAACTCATATTAAGGCTTGAGAATCCATATTAAGGTTTGAAAGTTTATATTAAAACTGAAGAGCCCATATTAAGACTCGAAAGTTCATATTAAAACTCGAGAGCCCCTATTAAGGCTTGAGAGTTCATGTTAAGGCTCAAAAACCCATGTTAAGATTCGAGAATTCATATTAAGGCTTAAAAGCTTGAGAGTCAAGTCAAGCTCAAATTATATAAGCTTGACTTGACCTGAGCTCAATTTTTAAATTTAGGCTCGACCTAAACCTAAGTTTTTTAAGCTTGACCAAGTTTGAGTTCTATAGGGCTCAACTGAGCTTGACCTATAGGAAGCTTTATTTGTATTACCCATTTCATTTTTGTTCTTTCCACTGTCCTCTCCATTCCAAATTCATCTTCTTCACCATTCCCTTCATCTCGAATTTATCCTAAAAATTTTGATTCTTTATTCTTTTTCTTCGCCTATATTTATAAATTCTTTCAGTTACACTTGTCACGTGTCATGTGACTTCTGATATACTGTGGACTGCAGATGCTACAGTCTACTGCAAAAATTGTTATTTTGTTTAGATGGTAACTATACGTGTTGCCCAAATCCCAAATCATTTGGGATTTGGGACGCCAAAATCCCAAATTACTAGTATTTGGGATTTGGAATTTGGGATTTCGGCAAAAAATACTAATCATAATTTGGGATTTGGGATTTGGGATTTCGGCATTTGGGATTTCGGCATTTGGATTTTGAATTTGGGTGGCAGGTATATCTTTAACTAATAGTTAATCATATTCCTTAAAGATTAGATCACAGTCATAGTATATACAATATACCTGATAATGTGTATACAATATATCCAATATTATATACTCTAACTATTTGCTTCGAAAATAACATGTAGAATGAAATTGACCTATCACATATACTTAATCATTATAATCTAACTCATTATTCTCTTTTAAAGGAAATCAATTGAAAATGTTAATCCAATATATAAACTTTATATAAGCAGTCAACTAACGACTTGAGTTTCATGACTGCCAAGTCACCTATATTTACTTATTATAATCTAGCTCATTATTCCTATCTAAAGTATTTAAAGGAAATTGATTGAAAGTATTAAGCTGATATATAAGTTAAAACATGATATATCCAAGTGTGACAACAAAAATTAATCATGATTGTTATTTAAATGACATGAGAAAAAGAAATCACACATTAGCCACAGCATATGTTTTAATGGCTCTCAATTGACGATACAAATGTAATCTACACATCATCCAATTTTTAGTTTATACTAGATCATCTGTAACAAGCATTTCATTCTTTTGTTATTATTTGACAAGCATTTTGCTTTTCACTTGTCAGAGATAACCTGACATAATCTACACTAACTGGAAATAATATAATTATATTATTTCTGGTCATTATTATTTCTTTTGTACAAAATATAAAGAAACAATGAACTTTTTAAACTGTGGGAAAGCATAAAAATAAAAATTTTAGAATTTTTTATTTTTATTTTGATTTTATATATAATAAACATAAAGTAGCTACAATTCTTTTTATTATCATTTATTGTTTTTACAGAAAAACAAAACTATTTCTTTAATTCACTGAGAAGCATAAAACCAGATTTTTTTCAATTTTTACTTTTTATCTAATCAGTTAATCATTGTTTGAATCTTTTAACCTTCTTTGATTTATTCAAGTAAATAATTTCTTGAAAACATAAAAAAAAAAATCAACCCTTTTGTCTAACTAACTGGATTTTTAAATCACTTGATCAATTTATATTCTGAAAATCTTCATCAGAAATAAGTGAAACATAATTCTCATATTGTGCTTCAATTTCTGTTAAACTTAATACTGGTTTTTCCTCAATTTTTCCTTTGAGAAAATATCTTAATGATAAATCCATTTCAAAATTTTTTGAAGGTTGATCATTATTATTATCGTTGTTATGACTGTCATCACTATTGTCACTGTTATCACTGTTATTGCTGTTATCATTGTTATTACCATTGTTACTGCTACTACTATTGGCATTAGTTCCATTACTTTCATTATTTTCATTATTTTCAGCATTTCCATTATTTCCATTTTTTCCATGAGATTTTTGAGCATATACTGTAACTGTGGCTTACTATTAATATAAAGTTTAATAATAAAGTTTAATAATAAAATATAATAATAAAGTTTTAATAAAATTTAATAATAAAGTTTAATAATAAAGTTTAATAAAGTTTAATAATAAAGTTTAACAAAGTTTAATAAATTTTAAATGAATCAAGACAACAAACCTTATATTATAATTTACGTTTTAAAAATACACTAACTAATACATTTGTCGTAGGAGCTTGATATTATTAGTTTGATCAAAGAATTATTGTTAGTGTTATAGTTATAGTTATTATTATTATTATTGGGATTTAATGAAGGAGAATTGGAATATTTTTTAATACAAGTAATTTCATGAAATTTTGCTTGTCTTAGCTAATGTTTGCCACGATCACCACAAAAAAAAAGGAAAATATTTTTTAGAATAATATTATTCTTTATTTTATGACTTTTTAAAAAACAATAATAACAATAATAAAGATACTCACTACACAACAAGCTGTAGACCAGTTTGTTCTTCTACAGAAAAGCAAGGGGAAAACTGACATTGATATGTAATTTTTAAGCAATTATTGAAAAAAGTTCTTCTCTGGTTAGCTTGTCAATTGAACCCATTTTTAAAAATAAAATAAAATGATATAGTATAATATAATAATATATTTGATATAGATGAATTTTTTTACTATTTATTTTATCTACATATTTTAATTTTAATTTTCTAATTTAATTTATTAGATGGATAAACTAATTATCATAGTATAGATTTTATCCTATTGTTATTCCTTTTTCGGTGAAGTCACGGCACAAAATACCTTCACCCAATTGGTGAGTATTGGTAAGTTCTTA